ATGGCACCGCCAGCACTTCCTGACCTTCTCAAGATGGCGGCGGCTCTCGCGAGATTTCCGCTCCTTCTCTGCGCCTGCGCGGGGGCCGCGGGGGCCGCTGGGATCGCGGCGGACCCGGCGCTGACGGAGCCGGCGGAGCGGCCGCGATGGTGAGAACGGAGTGAGGGGAAAAGTGAAGGGGGCGGCGGCTCCGCGAGCCTTTGGAGGCTCCTCGGGGTTTTTTCGGCACTTTGGGAAACCTTCGGGACCGGGAAAATCCCGAAGGAATCGCCCGAAATTCCAAAATTCCAACCCCAAAACCTCCCCGCCCCCCCCCACGCAGCGGCCCCCTCAGGGAGGCCCCGCCCCCTCACGGAGACCACGCCCCTTTTAATGCAAATAACCATTTTAATTAACCTGCTTTAATTACACCTGGCCTTAATTAACCGCGCCCTTAAAAAAAAAAAACAAAAAAAACCCCAAACCCGCCTTTTCTTTGTGGTGGCCACTTTCCTTTTTTCACTAGCCACTCCCTCCCAGGCCTAACCACGGCCCCCAAAGCGGTGGCCACCCCCTAAAACTCAACACCCATCCCTTAAAACACCGGATTTTTTGGTGGCCACCGCCGTTTTTTTAGTAGCCACCGCCGTTTTTTTGGTGGCCACCTGCGGGTTTTCACTAGCCCCCGCCCCCAGGACGTGTTCCTGATGATCCGGCGCCACAAGACCACGATTTTCACCGAGGCCAAGGAATCGTCCACGGTGCTGGAGCTGAAGAGAATCGTGCAGGGGATCCTGCACCGCCCGCCCGAGGAGCAGCGGCTCTACAAGGTTGGGCAACCAAAGGGTTANTGGATCATTTGGGATATTTTTGGGATAATTTTCCCGTTTTTTTCCCCCCTCAGGACGATCAGAGACCCCCCAGCTCAGTTTTTATGGACATTTTATGGATCATTTGGGATATTTTGGGATAATTTTCCCGTTTTTTTCCCCCTCAGGACGATCAGCTCCTGGAGGACTCCAAGACTTTGGGCGACTGCGGCTTCACGAGCCAAACGGCGCGGCCCCAGGCCCCGGCCACCGTGGGGCTGGCCCTCAGAAACGGGGGTGGGTGACAAAAAAAACCCCAAAAAACTCCAAAATCCGAACTGGGGAACCCCAAAAACCCCAAATTCCAACCTGGGAACCCCCAGAAACCCCAAATTCCAACCTGGGAACCCCCAGAAACCCCAAAATCCAATCCTCGGCCCCAGGCCCCGGCCACCGTGGGGCTGGCCCTCAGAAACGGGGGTGGGTGACAAAAAAAAAACCCAAAAAACCCCAAAATCCGAACTGGGGAACCCCAAAAACCCCAAATTCCAACCTGGGAACCCCAAAATCCCACCTGGGGCACCCCAAAAACATCAAAGTCCAACCTGAGAACCCCCAAAAATCCCAAAATCCAATCTGGGAACCCCCAAAAACTCCAAAATCCAAACTGGGAAACCCCAGAAATCCCAAAATTCCAACCTGGGAATCCCCAAAAACCCCAAAATTCCAAACTGGGACACCCCAAAAACCGCAAAATCCGAATTGGGGAACCCCAGAAACCCCAAAATCCAAACTGGGAACCCCCAAAAATCCCGAAATCCAAACTGGGAACCCCCAAAAATCCCCAAATCCGAACTGGGAATTCCAAAATTCCAACCTGGGGAACCCCAAAAAACCCAAAATCCAACCTGGGAACCCCCAGAAATCCCAAGTGGGATTTTGGGACCCCTAGAAGGGAAATTTGGGGTCCTTAAAGGAGATTTTGGGGTCCCTGAAGGGATTTTTTGGGGGGATTTGGGAAATCCCAAAGGAAATTTTGGGGTTTCCAGGTGGGATTTTGGGTGTCCTAGGCTTGATTTAGGAGATTTTTTTTTTTATTTTGGGATTTTTTGGGGTCCTGAGATTGGATTTTGGGTTTTTTTGGGGTTCCCAGGTAGAATTTTGGGGATTTTGGATGTTCCAGGTGGGATTTTGGGTGTCCTGGGCTGGATTTTGGGGATGTTTTTGGGGATTTTGGGGTCTTTTAGGGTTCCCAGGTGGGATTTTGGTTGTCTCAGGTGGGATTTTGGGGTTTTTTTTATGGATTTTGGGGTTTTTTGGGGTCCTGAGTTTGGATTTTGGAGTTTTTGGGGTTTTCAGGTGGGATTTTGAGGTTTTTTGGGGTCCTGAGATTGGATTTTGGGGTTTTTTTAATGGATTTTGGGGTTTTTTGGATGTCCTGGGTGGGGTTTTGGGGGTTCCCAGGTGGAATTTTGGGGATTTTGGGATTCCCAGGTAGAATTTTGGGGATTTTGGATGTTCCAGGTGGGATTTTGGGTGTCCTGGGCTGGATTTTGGGGATGTTTTGGAGGATTTTGGGGTCTTTTAGGGTTCCCAGGTGGGATTTTGGGGATTTTTTTCAGGATTTTGGGGTTTTGGGGGTCCTGAGTTTGGATTTTGGGGTTTTTTGGGGTTCTGAGATGGGATTTTGGGGATTTTTTTCAGGATTTTGGGGATTTTTTTCAGGATTTTGGGGATTTTTTTCAGGATTTTGGGTTTTTTTGGGGTCCTGAGTTTGGATTTTGGGGTTTTTTGGGGTTCCCAGGTAGAATTTTGGGGGTTTTTGGATGTCCCAGGTGGGATTTTGGGGGTCCTGGGTTGGATTTTGGGAATGTTTTTGGGGTACTTTAGGGTTCCCAGGTGGGATTTGGGGGGTTTTTTATGGATTTTGGGGTTTTTTGGGGTCCTGAGATTGGATTTTGGGGTTCCCAGTTGGGATTTTGGGGATTTTTTTCAGGATTTTGGGGTTCCCAGGTGGGAATTTGGGGATTTTTTTCAGGATTTTGGGGGTTTTCAGGTGGGATTTTGGGGTTTTTCGGGGTCCTGAGTTCGGATTTTGGGGTTTTTTGGGGTCCTGAGTTCGGATTTTGGGATTTTTTTCTCTAATCCTGATTTTTAACCCCTCGAATTCCAGAGGAATCCTTCGAGGGGCTGCGGATCGAGCCCTTCTGGGTGGGATTTGGGGGATTTTTTTCAGGATTTTGGGGTTTTTGGGGTCCTGAGTTTGGATTTTGGGGTTCCCAGGTGGGATTTTGGGGTTTTTTGGGGTTCTGAGATTGGATTTTGGGGTTCCCAGGTGGGATTTTGGGGTTTTTTGGGGTCCTGAGTTCGGATTTTGGGATTTTTTTCTCTAATCCTGATTTTTAACCCCCCGAATTCCAGAGGAATCCTTCGAGGGGCTGCGGATCGAGCCCTTCTGGGTGGG